ATTTCTGTTCTGTTCTGTTCTGTTCTGTCATATGGTTTCTGCTTCTTTGCCTTCCCATTTTGGCTGTCTTTCTGTGTCTGTTTCTACGTACTAAGCAAAGCTCCTAAGTCTCCTTCTCTTATTAGTGTGGATTTGTGAAGTAGGTTCAGTGGCACAGTCCTGAGAGAGGTTCAGCTGCAGGCCAAATTTAGCCAAGCCTCTACCCCTCTGGGGCCACCTGTTAAGATTCAGCAAGCAATCCCCAGATGCAGTGCTTATAGTTGCCTCAAAAGGCCACTCCAGAAACCAAGGGCAGCTGCCTCTACCAGTGTGAGTCTCAGCAAGGAGCACCTGACTCACTGAGGATACACCTGGATGTTGTTTGTGTGGGGCCCGAGTTGGGGGAGGTGGAGTTTCAGGGAATCCTCTGGGCGGAGTGACCTTTGTTATCCATCCAGTTTGATGACGTCACAACTATGGCGGCGCTGTGTCCAGCGCACTGGTAGCGGGGAGGGCTCAACGGGGAACAGTGGATACTGCCAGCACTTCTGTACCAAGCGATTCTCACTCACCTCGGCCCTCATTCCAACAGTGTCTCTCTGTAAGTCCCTGGTGCCTCCTGCGCTCAGCCTAATCGGCACTGATGCTCAGAGTGAGCAGGTCCATCACCGCGAAAATCACGGACAGGGTCCCTTTAAGAGGTGTCTGCCTCTGCCGCAGCCTCCTCTCACTCAGCCACTGGGGTCCAGGCAGTCCTGCATCCTCTCCCCATCCTACCTTCTGCCACTGCAGGGTGCTTTCTTGGATTTCTTCGTAGTTGTATGGCTTGTTCATCTAGATCCCAGGCAATTTTTCCTTGCTGCTGCTCCTCGTTTCCATCACAACTTTGATTTAGTCACCAGAGGGATAAACAGAGCCTCTATCATCTATGTCATCTTTTTTCTTTTTTTGCCTTATTTTTTAATGTAGACCTTGGGAATTAACTTAATATAGCCTTCCTAGAGTTTAGGTTGTACCATTTCACATGTAATATAGGAACCTTGCCACAGTAGAATTCCATTTATCACTTCCTGGTCTTTATGCTATTATTGTCATATATACCACATCTGCATATGTTTTAAAACCCATAGTTCAGTGTTAGGATAAGTTTTGCTGGAAGCAGTCCTATCTTTTAAAGAAATTAAAAGAAGAAAAAAGATTCTTTTCTATAATACCTATATAGTTGCCATTTCTGATGTTTTCCATTTTTTCTTTTACATCCTGGTTTCCATCTGATATTAGTTCCCTTCATCCTGAAGAAATTGCTTTAGCATTTCTTATGATGCAGGCTTGCTGGTGATGAATTCTCTTGTTTTCGTTTCCCTGAAAATATATTTTTCACTGTGCTTTTTTACCTCAATTCTTGAAGGATTTTCTGTAGCTATAGAATTCTAGGTTGACAGGAGTTTTTGTTTTCTGTCATCACTTTAAAGATACCTTTCATTGCCTTCTGGCTCTTTTGTGATGAGAATTTAACTCTCATTTGTATCATTCTCTTACATGTAATGTATCCTTTTTTTTCTGGCTCCTTCTAAGATTATTTTATTTTTGATTTTCAGCCATCTTACTATGATGTACCTAGTTATGCTTTTGTTATGGTTTTCTTTGTATTTATCCTGTTTTGAGTTTTCCTTGCTTCTTGAGTCTCTAAGTTATGTTTTTCATGAAATTTGTGGAAATTTTAGCTATTATTCATTTATTTTTTTCTACATTCTCTTTTCTGTTCTCTCCTCCTGGAGACTACACATATGCTGGTCTGTTTGACATTGTTCCACAGGTTACTGAAGCTCTATTCATATTTTTCTTTCAATCTTTTTTTTCCTTCAGATTAATCCTTTCTATGTTTTGTCATTTGTGTTCACTCACTCTTCTTCCATCTCCAGTCAGCTGTTAAGTCTAGCTCGTGAATATTTTATTTCACATTTGTGCTTTTGGTTATAGAATGTTCATTTTATAGTTTCTACAGATGTTCCTTGACTTACATTGAGGTTACATCTTGATAAACGTATCCTAAACTGAAAATATTATAAGTCAAAAGTTTATTTAATACACCTAAACTACCAAATAGCATAGCTTAGCCAAGCCTACCTTAAATGTGCTCAGAGCACAATATCCTAAAAACATTGTCTACTATAGAGTATCAGTTGTTTACCCACATAATCACATGCTTAACTGGGAGCTGTGGCTTGCTGTCGCTGCCCAGATCATGGGAAAGTATTGTACCACACATTGCTAGTCCGGGAAAAGATCAAAATTCAGAATTAAAAGTATGGTTTCTGTTTAATGTGTATCGCTTTCGCACCAATGTAAAGTTGAAAAACTGTAAGTTGAACTATCATAAGCCGGGAACCGTCCGTTGTGTCTGTGTTTTCTCTGCTTTGCCCGCTAACTCCAGCATCTGGACCTTAGATTGACTTATATTGACTTTCTTTTCTCTTGATTGAGTCACATTTTCCTATTTCTTCTGTTAATTTTTTATTGTATTTTTTTGTATATTGTATTATTATTTTTGTATATTTTGTATATTTATTGTATATTGGACATTTTGAAGAACATATTGCAAAGGCTCTAGATTCTGTCATCTTCCTGCTTTAGCAGGCTGTTAAACTTTCTTAGACTCAAACTGCAGACTCTGTTTCCCTTTTAGTGGATTGTAACTGAAGTCTCGGCTCAGGCCTTTCAAGTCTTTCATCTGTTGCTTTTTTGCTGGGCTTTTTGGAGTCTCCTCAGTGGATGTACAGATCAAGAGTTAGCTAAGGATTTGGGTAGAGTTATGCACAGATTTTTGTGGTTCTCGCCTTTCTAGCATTTCCTCTCTCACTGTTCAGCCTCTCTGGCAGTCTCAAACTCTGTCTTCTTATTTCTCAAACCAGTAAGTCTGCAGCTTTCTGTTTGATTTCCAGCTGTCCCTGTCAACCATGCAGACTGGAGAATGCCCTCTGGCAAAAAGCCACATACAGACAAATTTCACCTTGTATAATTTCATTCTTTTCTGGTTATCTCTAAGTACATAAACTTTCCCTAATGTAGTAACATTAAACAAACAATTATTTATTATTATTATTATTATTCTCATGGTTCTAGGGCTTGCCTAGTCTGTTGGATGGTACTTGCTTGGGTCTCCTACTTTTGTAATCAAGTGGGAAGCTGTGGTCTTCTTGAAATCTTCACTCTCATAGGTCTGATGGTTAATCCTAGCTGTTGCTTGGGACTCAGCTGGCTTTCTCATGATGGCTGGGTTCCAAAAGCAGGAATCCTGGGAAGGAGAGCCAGATGGAAGCTTATACTGCCTTTTATTTTCTAGCCTCAGTAGCCATATAGCATCACTTCTGCCACATTTTGCTCATTGAGACGGTTACATAGGAGAGCTCATAATCACACAGAGGGAATTAGACTCTACTTTTTGAGTGGGGAAGAATGTCAAAGAATTTTCAGACATGTTTGAAACTACTAAACCCTTCAAATTTTGTGTTCCCTCCAATTTCTACCTGCTTTTGGTCATTCTCTAGTAGTTTTGAATAGTAATTTTTTATATAGAATTTATTATTATCTGGTAGTCGAATACAAACTACTCCATCATTACCAGAAGTAAAAACTCCCTCTCTTCCATATCTTTCCTCCATAGCACTCATCACAATTGATATTTAATATAATTTACTTACTTATTTGATTTATTTTGTGTCTCCTCATACTAAGATTCAAGTTCAATTAAGTTAGAATTTTTTGTCTCTTTGGTAACTATTAGACATATAGTAGATATTCAACAAATATTTGTTGAATGAATTTTCAACTCAAAACAGCTACAATTAAACAAAAGCCTCTTGACAAAAGAGGAGCTACAAATTACTCTTGCAACATAGTTGTACTGATAGACTGGCATATCTGAGGTTTACTTCTCTTTGGTTTACAACAGGACATAGAGATTTCGACATTTCATTCTTATCATGATTATCATGTGTGTCAATTTAGCAGACTGGATGGCTGGCTACAGATCAAATAAAATAGTGCGGGAATGTACTTTGTGAAGTGTAAAGCACTATGAGATTATAAGGTATATCAGATAATTAATTATATGCAGTTATATCTATTAGGCTAGCTTTTTCAGATTTTGAAAGTATCTTTGTGAGTGTGTGTCTTTAAGGGATGAATATTTCGAATTCCCAAAACAATAATAAAAGTCATAGCAGTGTGTTTATAATAACATGCTTACTATGTTCTTATTAATGTTTTGCCTGATTTTTCTTTTTTAGGAACTTAAGAGATTTAAGAACTTTGTGAAATACTGTCCTCCTTTTGATATTGTCATTGATGGGCTCAATGTTGCCAAAATGTTTCCTAAAGCTCGTGAGTCTCAAGTTGTAAGTACAAGTTTTATTTTGTTATTCCAGATCTCTAGAAATATTTATTGTACCCGTTTGTGATCTTCCTTGAGTCTCATTGCTCTCTATTTTTTCTTCCTTTAAAAAATAAAAGCTTTTAAAGGTGCCATAGTGACCGTCTAAGATTCATTGTTTTCCTCTCTGGCAAGTAAGTGGCTCTTACAGGATGTGCAAGAGTGAGAGATTAAAAAGTCCATGTAATAAAGGGCCAGTTCAGCCTATTTTATAGCCTTTAGCAAACTTTCTCCTAGGTCTCTGCTCTCTCTTTGGGGTTCCGCTGTCATTTCCCCATGGGTCACATTCCTCTATTTGAAAATTATCAACGTCTACTATCATGAGATATTAATCATTTATTACTCACATTTTTTTTTCAAATATAGTATGTTTGTAAATGAACCTAAGGAGTTTTTTTTTTTTTTTTGAAGGGGGATAAGGTAATCATTTGTTCTATCAATTCATAAATGTCATAGTAATTTCTAATAGGAATATCATGATTTTTTATAACAGCAGTGAACAACTATTTTAATCCCCATTTTACAGTTTAAATTAGAAAATTGAGGCTAATTTTGTGCAGTAAATCTTTAGAAAGCAGTCATAACATCAAAATTAGATTGTAGAAACCTCCAGGGTTTCAGGCTTGTGGCTTTTATCTCTAACAATCGGTGGTCATTCATCTGTAGTTAAACTCTGTGATTTCTTTAAAATTGCTGCCAACTTAAAAGCTTTTTCTCAGGGATTCTACTAGTCTAATTTGGCCATTTATACTCAGAAAAGCTTACAAGTACTAACAAAGGACAAGGTCAATTTACAGAAATTTCTTTATATGCCTTATATGTTTGTACTTAAATTTTTATGGTCAAGTATGTACTTTTTAATCCTTTATTTAAAAAAGAAACACACACAAAAGCAAGTTGAAAATATTTTTGTCTCTTATGTACTTGAAAAGGGGCCTTTGAGGCAGTAATATTGACACAGGCAAAGCCAAAAAAGGAAGCCTGAAATTATCACTAATGCTTGGTAGAGCTCTGAATCAGAAGGACTCATTCTAAAAAATTCCCCGTCTAATTTGTGAGAATTAGAAAGTATCATATTTATTTACCTCTTGTTTGACTTCAGCTTTATACAAAGCACTAAAAATTAGCTTGCCAGAAATATATAGCCCAAATTAGGCTAAATTTTGGGGAGAAGGTAGTATGTTGAAGATTATGTAGCGAGAACATCTCCCAGCATTATGGAAGAAAAATTGCACATTTTGAAAGATTCTAGCAGATTTTGGCAAATAGAGAGGCAAAGAACAAAAGATAAAATGGGAAAATCATAGACATCTGCCAGTACTTTTAGCTTTTACTCTTAAAAGAATTCAATATAAGCAAGAGTTTATGTGACAAGTACATAATTGTTATTATGCAACTCTTCAGAGCACTGCTATCATGTGGCAGCGCACTGGCCTTATATTTAGGAAACCTCAACTCAAAGACTCGGCTTAAAGATAACACCTGAATAAGGAGGGATGAAATCAACTTCATTCTGAAGTTTTTTTCTCAAATCTGAAGCTAGAGATTTGTAAAAAGATAAATGAAGGTATATCATATTTCCCATAGACTCACCCTTAAAAAAAATTTCTTGGATAAATCTATCTCAGGCCTTTTTGTGGCTCAGTTTCATTCTTTAATACTTTTTAGGTTGTCAGAAGTAGGTTCCTGTTTTTTCTGTTAGTCATTTAATAGCATTTCAGTTTAGCTAGACCCTTTGAATTCCAGTCCTGGTCCTGCCACTTCATAGCTTTCATAGTTTGAGAAAGTTACTTACTCTCTCTTGTGCCTTAGTTTCCCAGTCTATTAAAAGAAGATAATAATAAAACCGTATTATAAAGATGTTGTGAAGAGTAAATAAGTTAATATATGTAAGCACTTGACATATAGTAAGTACTTAATGGGTGTAATTGTTATTGTGGTTACTATTTAAATGAACTTCCCAAATGGAACTACAACTCTTGCTTTCAAGAGACAATTATTTGGCAGTTTAAGATTTTTTTCCTGTCATCTCATCCATGTCAGTGGAGTTAAAAGGAAATACAAAGCTCTGCTTTAGTATTAGACTCAATCTACATCAGGTACTCAATACTTGATTGAGAAGTGAAGCCTGTACCATCAAAAACTTAAGAAAAAATTTAAATATGATAATTTTAAGAAATTTTTCTTCTGATTGTAAAAGCAATGCATGATTATCAATTATAAAAGTAATATAAGTAATTATAGAAAATTTGGAAATTACAGAATAAAAATCAGATATAATGCTATCATTTAGCAATAATCACTGTCATTTAGCAATAATCCTTGCAGTATTTTTCTGTTTCTTTACCTTGTAGAGCTTTGACTATGTAAATAATTGTATACATTTTAATTTACAGTTGAAAACTATAAAAATGAAATTATAAAAGTAGTAGAAGAAAACATGTATTCCTTTTCCATTTGAGATGGGAAGGACCTTCGAACCGTACATAAAATTCAAGACCCCTAATGGGAAGACTAGAGAAATTTCCTAGATAGTAAAAAATACTATAAGCACTGCTAAAAGTCAACAAAAAATTGAAAAACAATTTATAACATGTAACAAAGGGCTAATTTCCTGACTGTACCAAGGAAAGTGTCATAAGCCTATAAGAAAAGGTAAACTATACAATAGAAACCTTATTTATACTTATAGATATGCAAATTAAAATTTTTATCTTCCAGATTGGCAGAGATTTAAAAATTACCAGTAGCCTATATTTTGAATGGTTTGGAGAGGTAGGGAGAAGGGTATTAGACAATATTTTGGGTGGGTGATTTAGCAATAACTTTGCCTAAAATGTTGAAATTGTACTTGTAGGAACGGATATATTCACACTAGTACATAAAGTTATATATCCAAGTATGTTAGTTATATCATTGTTTATAAGCAGAAATGTCTAATCAACGTAAATATCTATCAATCCAGGACTTGATATATATAGAAATATTTATTACCTAACTAACATTTGTTAGGTAAGTTCGTATATGCCTAGAAAATTTCTAGAAGTTACACACATGTAAAAACTGAACAGTAGTTAACTTTGGGAGTTGGGAATAGAATATAAAAGAATAAGAGGATTTCTATTTTTTATTTTATTTTTTAAATTTTCTTTTGCAATGAGTTTATCTATTACTTTAGTATAAAAAATGAATCGAATTCAGGAAAAGAAAAAAGTAAAAAGGCATACTTGGTAAATATTCTGAAATAACTATACAATACTCTATATCTTATGGAGGTACCACAATTTTAAAATCATTTTCCTTTTGGTGGACAACTTAGATTATTTCCCATTTTTCACTATGGTAGATAATGCTTAGAAGATTTCTGTGTACGTTTCAGATGATTTCTTTAAAATAGATTCCCAGAAATAGAAATTCTTGAGTCACAGAGTATGGATATTTGCAAAGGTCTCACTACATATTGCCAAATTGCTTTCCAAAATGATTGGAGCCATTTATACTCCTACCAACAGTATATAAAAGTACCCAAATAGAACCCATTTCTTCAAGATTTGTTATTACATGATTGTTTCAATTATTTAGTCACATTTGTGCCATGAATCTGCTAAGTGAAAAGAACTGGACAGTTTTTGCCTTTCATTTTTTAGATAATACATTTTTAAAAATTGTGAACAAAGTTAAATAAAATAGTCCAGAAAGGAAACATTCTTGACTGTCTTTTTCCTCTTTATCTCTCTCAATACGATTGCCTATAAGCAAGGTTAGAAGTCCTAATTCTATGGGTCTTGAGTTTTTTCATGTTTGCGTGAAGAAGTTTCCAGATTTTTTTCTGTGGAATAATATGCAGATCATTTACGTTCTTCCCATGAACTCACTGCATAGTATGTCACAAATTCTTTTTGGTTCTTTTCCATTAATGGTTAATTATATATCCAACATTGTTCTCTGTAAGTTCATAAATGAGAAAAGACCATTTTTACATTCATTATTTAAGGAGTAGCACCATGATGACATGTCTTGATCTCAGAACCTATATCTTAGGAGTGATAGAGATTTAGGAGCTAAAAATAAGTTCTGGTTGTAAATTTATTTTACTTTCTCAATTTTCATTTATGTATATATGTGTGTATGTATGTATGTATATATATGAATATATATTTTTATATATTTTTTAAGCCAGAGTCTGTCTTATAATTGACGTCAGCAGAAACTTTTGCTGCCTGCACCACTCAGCCAAAAGACTGACACAGGAGTTGGGCTATTTAGAATATGCATTTATTAGAGAGTTACAAGTCACAGAGACATAGGCAAGTTATCGCTCAAAGGACTGGTTCCCTGAGCATTACAAACGCACAGATTAGCCATCGTGGAAACTGAGGGAGTTGGTGTTGTGGGTGCTACTGATTGGACAATTAAAGGAGAATGAGGTAATTGATCATTGTATACTGTTCTGGAATCAGCCATAGCAACATCCCATCTGGTTGTGCGACCTGGTTCCTTGGTTGGTGGGGTCGTAGTTCAGCCTCAATGAGGCTGAGGCTGAAACACATCTAAAGCCACGATGTTATCCTTAGTCTAAAGTCTAACTGAAACCTATTGTCCTCATGGTTATAGACCTGAGGCTCAGTTAATCTATGTCCTAAGTCTTAATGGTTAAAGGAGCAGGCATATGGAGGATAAGGATGGGGGGAAAAGGCAAGTGAGTCACAATGCCATTATCTGGGCAAAACCAGCTTGAATCAGAGACAAAAAACTGTATTAAGTTCACATGCAGTTACAAGCTATAAGGTAAGAAGAGATGAGGCCAGGAACACTGTGAGGCTCATAATACGTGGGGTCTTTGTATCAGGTCCTTTTTCAGTAGCATGAATAATATTTCATTATATGAATCTACCATATTTTATTTATCCATTCATTTGTGAACTTTTTGACGTTTTGATTATTTCTACTTTTTGGCTATTAGAA